CTTGACCGGTCTCGCCTTGGTTTTTGGCTTTCCTAGTTTGCTCTTTCAAATGAATGCTTTCCCCTTCATTGACGAACCCATGTCAAATTTAGGTGCAAAAAGAGTGTTCTTGTTAATGGATATGATGTTCTTGCTAGAATTTGGTTTAGGGATATTCTATTATTAGTTCAACAACCATGACTAAATACATGATCAGTTCACATCACATCTATTAACACCACAATCATTAACAAGAACACTCTCTTTTAACACCTACATACCACCCTCCTTTTGCACCTATCATTGCCACATAATAGATGTGTCCACTCCTTTACATGTGTTTTTAAACTAACTTATATAGTCTCTAACATTTAATTTTTGAATTTATTTTTGACATGTGTTTTACCAGTCTTTACTGATTTTAAAAGTAATGGTATTCTACCAGTCTTTATTTTTGAATTTATTTTTGTCTCTACTGGAGGTTATGTGCAAGTTCTGGCTCAGATCCCGAAAACAAAGTCTATGGTTCGCGTTGGGATTACAGTTCGTATGGACAACTCGATAGAGGCAGCCCTATCGATTACAAAGGTTAAATTGGGCACTTCACGATACATTGCCTCAGCTTATGTATAAACCATGTCCATGACGGTCCACTTTTTGTCTTCCACACTCCCATTGCAATGGGTACGATCTTATTGTTTTCATCCACGCCGACCGCTAAGAACATGGTGCCCACGTATGGCCTCTTCAGATAGGCACCGTCCATTATAAGGAGCGGTCTAGAAACGAGCGAATTTGGAGATGAACGAGGTAACAAATATGAACTTCAAAACATAAAATTATAACAAGAATTCAAGAATATGACAAAAACTATTACTGAACAACCGAGTGTGAGAAACATGTCAAATAGTCCTCGTCCATCAACAACGATCTCAATCACGTTCCCCAGATTTGCTATCTTCAGATTGTGACAACAAACCGGGAGTAGGTTAAACGACAACTAAAGGAACCCCCCTTAACAGTTGCAAGGCATACATCTTTGCACGTCATGCTTGGTTGTAGGAGATGCTAATATTGAACCTTTGGTTCACATCTTCCATGATTTCTTTCCATGGTAGACTCTCCTACAATCCTTTAAACTCTCTGCCAATATATGACCCAAAACCTTTTTATTTGCATTACGGTGGTTTGGGTGGACTTGGGACCTTGAACAAGTGTATTCATATGCAATTTCCGTACCTGAAACATACTGGTACCATCAATAGAAATAGCCATTAAACGCCAATCAACAGTCTGAAGCAGAGTGACACACCGCCTCATACCGGTGTTTGGTTGATTTCTTAACCTTGATCAAGAAGTTTTCATAAACGCATTTGAATTCCAATGCGATCTTCAATGCTTTCTTCGAATCAAAGGTTTGGAGAATGTTTACATGGGATGTAGGTTGGTAGGAAATGTTTCTCTGTCTAGTTTTGATAACAGGGTCTGGGCAAGGTGTTGGATCGGGCATACCCCAAAAACTATTCCTTACCAGATGGATTTCTTGAGCATCGGTGTTACCGTCTTCGAGTATATTCAAAATTTCTGCTACAACAGAAACATCTTCATCCATATCCATATCTACCTCCCACAAAGTTTTTAACTGTTCTGGAGACTGGTACGGAGACTGTCTCGGAGACTGATTCAAATCTTGAATCAAATAACTGTCATGATCAATAGGATTTTTTGATTCAAAATATGAATTTTCACCAACACCACCAGGGAAGAAAGTTCTTGGATTTCCACCACTAGCACCGCTAAGGAAGAAAGTGCTTGGATTTCCACCACTACCACCACCGGGGTAAAAAGTGTTTGGACCATATGGATTTGCAACACTACCATCGGGGAAGAAAGTGNGGAAGAAAGTGCTTGGATTTCCACCACTACCACCACCGGGGTAAAAAGTGTTTGGACCATATGGATTTGCAACACTACCATCGGGGAAGAAAGTGCTTGGATTTCCACCACTACCACCACCGGGGTAAAAAGTGTTTGGACCATATGGGTTTGCACCACTACCGTCGGGTAAACTTTGATGGATTACGACACTTGATGTATTTCCACCATAACCACCATCGTCGATAATAAATAGTGCCACCATTTCCGGTAAACTTTGATGAACAACGTTGTGGAACATTAAGACATCATCGTCGTCAATTAACTGATATAATTTTTGTAAGGAATTCATTTTATAAAATAACATGAAAAGACTACGTAAACTTAACTTTTTTATAGCACATTTAACCAAACCAGAATGTGTTATTGGCGAAGACAAACATAATACACGTATGATATAATCAATATAAAGGATTTATAATAAATTAATCGGCTATTTTCTTTACCAGGATTCGACCTAAAAAGAGTTTAACCCATTGTCAGATATCCCAGGGTTGGTGAGACCGACTAGCATGTTGTCCCAACTTCATCAAGTCAACCATGCATGGTTGTGTCGGTCTTCTTTTTCCTCAAAATCTGACTTGACCATCCAAATAACAAAAAAGAACATTGATCTTGGGTTTGTCCTTCCTAACCCAATTGACCCTTGTTCGGCATGAAACCTAACCCAAACTCAACAAAATCCGAGAATTTGATCTCTAATGGCTTGATTTGGACTCGGTTTTTCTCGAATCATTCTAGCATGATTGGCTCAAAAATTGACATTAGAAATTATGTAATAAACTCTACCTATTCCAGTGGGATAAAGATATGCATTTATGTTCCACTCAAGTCATATCCCAATCTAATGTCGTACTAAATATGACACAAGAAGTTTTTGTACTGTTCATTATCAGTCATACCCTGTGTATCAGAGGACTATATTTAAGAATTCATGACATAATACGAAGAAGAAATGAAGCAAGATGGCAAGTGCTTTGCCGAGTTTTATGATCGACATGTAGCCACAAATTTTTTAATGAAGTTAGTCAAAGAAACCAAATTTATAAAGATTTACAAACTATAAACACGACCAATGATGAAGCATAATAGACAAAAACATTTTTTCAATGAGCATGAAACATACAAATACAATGGTGCCATTTTTATATAGAAAAACATTTTTTCCCCGAAAGTATAATTAAGAGTGTAAATGATGCAAACCGAACTCAAGTATCATATACTCGATTCAAGCTCGATAGCCATTTCTCAAACTCGAACTCAACTTGAAAACTCATGAGTAGTTAAAAAACTAATATCGACTCGGACTCTATCATAAATTTTTTAAACTTGACTCAAACTCAAGCTCATTTAAAGCTCAAACCAGACTCGAACTCAAATTTAAATCAAGCTCACCCGTCAAAATTTATAAAATTTTAGGGTCTTTTATAAATTATAAAACTTGGAGGTGTTCTCTTAAATTTTAAAAAACTAAAAAGATGCACTTCAAACTTCATCATCAAAAACACAAAGTTACAAATTTATTCACCTCTCTATCTTTTTATAACACATCTTCATCATTCTTTTACTATATCTCTTCCAATATGGGGGACAACTTCATCAACACTTATATAGTTTTTTTGACTTTTTAATTATGATTTTAATAAAAAATTTATTGTTTAGTCTTTATAGTTAAAAATGCACAATATTGTTCAAATATCTAAAAATGTAAGGGACGGTTTACCAAACGCTTACCTGTAAGTCACATTACCTTACCAGATGAATTTGATAAGGACTAAAACTCTTAATCGGTAAGAACGAGACAAGAACCAAGAGTCTTACCCGATAAGTAAGGGCGACAACTCTTACCACAATAAGCGTTTACCGGGTAAATTATTGCGTATAATGTCATTTTGAGTGACTAAAATTTTATTCGGTGAGTGATAGTGTAAAATTTTACCACTAAACGCTTACCAGATAAGTGTTTGGTAAACGACCCCTAAAACATTTTTATTACATTATATTATACATATTATATTATAAAACTGGTTATATTTTTAAAACTAATTATATATAAAAAATCAAGTATCTCACGAGCTTTCCGAGTCAAGTATTAACGAGTCGAGTTCGAGTTTAAACCGAATCTATTCGAATCGAATGTTGACCGAATCGATCTCGAATTGTCTTGTGTCGTTTACCCCTATGCATAATAGTTTGAAAAGTATTTATATTATTTTCTTTAAAAGAATATTTTATAAGAAAAATTATTTTAAAAATCAAAAGGTGACAAGTTGCCCCAAAAGTCATGAAACGAGAAGTACGGTTTCATGAAGCTGCGACTTGGTGGTTTGTTGTACTACAACTATTGTGTTTGTACTACCTGCATTAAAGTTTGATTTAATTACAATCCACCCCCTCATCTTCTCCTTATAGACCCTATCAGTCCCTTAATACTAAATCTTTGAAAAGCCATAACATTAAAGCCAAAATGGAGACAATAAATTCATTTCATATATTTACCATAATTATTTTTTTTCACATATATACAATTCCACAATAAATTTAATGGTTAATCATACAAATCTATAATTACCATCAAACGTTTAATTTTCTTAATAGAAAAAACTTTAGAATTGATATATATTATTGTTTATTTATTAATCGTACAAATTTATAATTACCATAAAATGTTTAAATTTTATTTTATTGAAAAAAAATTAGACTTGATATATGTTATTGTTTATCGTTATGTTTTCTTTTGTTTAAAAAATAAAAAAATATTTTAATTTCTCTCGTTCTCTCTCTCTCTCTCTCTCTCTCTCTATATATATATATATATATATCAATTATTAGTTTTATTAATGTAATATTTTATTAAAAAATAACCAGTTTATTATGATGGCCAAAACTTACTTTAATCGGTCAAGGATTCCAAGACATAAACTTATTAGTAATGAATAACTAAAAACAGGAGTATTTGTTGCATATTTCCAAACTTAGAGGTGCACAATGAAAAATGCCAAGCATCGAAAGGTAGGACAATGTACTAACATGTTAGGCGGATGTACTACAAATAGATCTCATGAACTATTAATATTTACAACTTTAATGTATGATTTTAAAACATACCATCTAATATAAGTATTCATTGTATGTTATATCAAAGTTTTGAAGTTCACAGTATAGATAAAAATAAATGGTATAGATGGAGATGTGAGGGTAGACGGGGACGAGACAGAGCCCGAAAAAGCCTAGTCAATACTTGGGTATGTATTGTTATCTTTTTCATGCACTGCCTCTTCCCTGGCTATCATCTTTCTCTCTATGCTCTGTGTGTTAGATTATGTTTCATGTGATCTTTTAACTGTTTGGTGTTGGTATTATATGTTTTCTATTTAGTTTTTTTGCATCTTTGTCACTATGGATCACTAACGTATTTATGTAAATTGACTTGACTATCTTTCAATTGGCTGATCATGCTCGTTTCTTGCAAGTTGTAATGAAGCCCAAATGATTAGGACCATCTTAGAAGTTGTTTACTATCTGCTTGGGACAGGAGTGATGTATGATATGGAGAAGGATTGATGATATTTTGAATGCCTAAATGGAGATAAATGTAAGAAAGTTAATAGGGAAGAAAAGAGAAACTTGTTTCTTTCTCCATGGAGGTTTTGGCATTGAAGAACAATTCAGATGGAGGTTTTGGTGAGAGATGATAATATATTCATTGTAGCCTTCTTAATAAAAGATTAAGAGTGAGCTTGTTCTTTGTAAGTGTCCAATTATATAACCAGGATCAAACAACATCATCAGGTGGTGACAACTTCTTTGGTTGTAGAAAAGTAATAGCCAACATCCATTTGATGTTGGTTGATCCTGGTTATATAATTGGACAATTGACTAACTCTTAATCTTTTATTAAGAATGCTAAAAGAAATAAGGTATCCTTTGGGAACAAAGTTGAGGTTAGCTTTCCCCCTTCTTTTAGCAATTATCAAAGGTACACTATATCATAATAAATTAACACGCCAATTTGGAATTTTTGAAATATGAAAGGTATGCACAAGAATAACCTATATTCTCAAGAAATCACATAATACAAGTGTTAACATGATTTGGAACCCCTTAAAATTAACTTCCAATTTCGGACCTCTCCTAAAGCTATGATATTCATCATGACATCAAACTAGGACAGGAAAAAGATACAACTTGAATATTTAACATCAAAAAGGTGAATTTCCAATCTCCAAGTTGTGTATTTTAAAAGTTTCACTATATGTGTAGGAGTCAAGTGGAACATAAAATCAACGGTGAATTTCCAATCTNTCCAAGTTGTGTATTTTAAAACCATCATGACATCAAACTTCCAAGTTGTGTATTTTAAAACCATCATGACATCAAACTTCCAAGTTGTGTATTTTAGTCAGATTGTCTGCTTTTCATACTAAATCTCAAGATTGAATTGGTAGTTGTACAATTGAACACGGTATGTGTAGGAGTCAAGTGGAACATAGAATCAAATTGAACATAGAATTTTTTATTGACAAGTTTGTGGGTATGTGGTTTTTTCATTTCGTTCAATATTAAGGGTACATTGTTGGGTATACGAGGCTTAATAGAATGATATGATTTTCAAGAGTTAACCCGTCTAATGTAGATGCCTTTCTGCATTATGAAGTAACTATTGAGGTCTTATTCTTTGTGACATTAACTTTTTGTTTGGTTGTTAGGAGTATGATATGAATTGTTAGTTACTTATTTAGTGACTTATGGTTCTTGAATCTATGAGTTTGTCATCTCTTCTATCTATCCACTTGTCTCACTTAACTCAACTTTACCACCTATTGAGGCTTCTATGATGCATTTCATTTTGGATTAAGGATGTAGATTTGAGAAATCTTCTTGCTTTTCTCTCAACTTTTCAATGGACTAATTATAATCTTGTATTTATTTCTTAGCATCATCATTTATCCTTAAACTTAGTTTTGTCTGATATCCTTTATTTACACAAAAACTTCTCAAATTAACACTTACCGTTTTACCCATAGATATTGTACATCGTTGGTATTCCAAGATTTTTACCGTCGCCTAAACCCTTGCACCTCTGTCTGCCGTCATTGCTCGACGCTTTGATACTACTTGTTCCTAGTAAAAGTAAAATCCTAATCTCTATATCCCCTTACCAAACTTTGTAACTCTAATTATTATGGTGATTGTGTGAAAGGAATAGGATTTTGTGGGCATGTATTACTTGTGTCCGTCTATAAACCTATAACCGTTCATACTTTTATCTTCATGGGAGACAAAGTTCTAGTTCGACGTCAAAGACGTTTGAGGAATCCAAATTTTAGGGTGTAATTAATTTTTCTGCTATTTAGAAGATCATTGTGCAACTCCACACATTATGCCAGTGCAGTGTGTTTGTTTAAGTCGGCCTTGAAATTTTGGATAAAAAATGATTATTTGAGCCAGGAATACATGAACCCTAAAACTCGGGAATGGAATCTTAATGATAATGGTATTTGAATGGATTTATGGAATGCAATGGAACCACAAAAGTCTTAATTACTCTACCACAACAAAGATGTGGATGCACTTGGAGTCCTTCTTCTCGCCCAAAAGATCATTGTTTCATACTTATTCCATGTTTGGATCCCACTTCAAGTACAGACATTATGACTCCGGTTTCACCAAGTACTACATGAGGCTATGGCTTGCCATATGCTTCTTCTCACCTTGCACACAGTAAAGTTCTTCTCACCTTGCACACTAGATGTTATAGTTCTTCTCACCTTGCACACTAGATGTTAAAGTTCTTCTCACCTTGCACACTAGATGTTATAGTTCTTCTCACCATGCACACCAGATGTTATAGTCGTACCTTGTGAAGGTACTTCCATTTATGCATAGTAATACTTTCTTCCTTATCACTCTTTCCTTCCTGAGTCTCCAGTTTTTGATGAGTCCTTGGAATTATTTAATATCTTAATATCGAGAAATCTCTTTCAGACCATGCACCTTGATTTCCAATCACACTGGTCTACATAAGGCATATCCAACAACCACCATTGTCTTTTGGATCCCAAAGCTTGGGACTTTATATGGTTTGTTGGGTCACCTATTGATTTGGTGATGACCCATTGATCTGTTCCTCTACCTTAGTAACACTTAGTAGTTATTGATTTCTTTGTATATTGGTGCCTTGGTACATACTTAAGCCATTGGCAAAATCGAAGACTAGCCGATGTGAAGACAGAAGGTCACCGATGCGGTTCTGTGGATCAAATGTCTAATATACACACCAAGAATCTAGAGTAGCTGAAATGAAGATTGAAAATATTTTGAAGCTACAATCTGATTGGAGGAAGATCTTCATGGGCCGAAGAATGAAAATCTTCGTAGACCCAAGATTGAAGATCTTCATGGACCGAATATTGAAAATCTTCGTGGACCGAAGATTGAAGATCTTAATGGACCGAAGATTGAAGATCTTCGTGGACCAAATCTTGAAGATCTTCATGGATCAAATATTTGTGAGTAGCTGTTTGAAGCTACTAATCCATCCAATGAAGATCTTCCTACAGACTAACCATATCTCTACAAAAGTTTGTCTCTACATGAACAGTGTTGTATGCACGCTGTGTACGATGAAAATGAGATATCAACAATGGTCAAGCCAACCCCTGCCTTCTTATCCTCAGGTGACAAGTGCCCCATGCATTTATTGTTGAAGGTAGTATAAAAGGCAGTGTGCATCTCCCATGCACATCACTAGCTTTTTGAAAGATTACTTAGTGCATTCTCAAGGCAATCAACTATTCTTTTCTACTCCCTTACTGTCCTGTGTGTGAAGAAAAACTTAGTGTTCTTCATTTCCTTTCAAGTACTCTTTGTGTTGTTTTTGTAAGTTCTTCTCTTTGTAAGATTGTTTAGGTTAGGTTATCCTTTCCTATCTTTCGCAACAATCTTTTGTATCTCTGTGTGTTAATTCTTGATATTCATCAATAAGAATCAAAAAGTTTAAAAAAATCTGTGTAATTGTATTCAACCCCCCCCTTTACAATTACTTTATGTTTATTGTCATCCCTTTCGGGACTAACAAGTGGTATCAGAGCAGTTAGCTTAATCTCATAAGCTAGATCTGGAATGGCCTCTTCTATTTCCAACTATGCTCCTTCTTCTTACCATGACAATGGCACTGTTGCCAAGCCTCCTAAGTTCGACAAGAACAACTTTTCTATGTGGAAAAGTCGCATGACACTCTTCCTTGAGGGTGTTGATAGTAAATATCTCTCTATCCTAAGGATGGACCCATTGTTCCAAAAGTCTAGCTTCGTCATGGAAAGAACAAAAATGAAGGTGACTCTTCAAATGATTTTGATGATGATGAAGAGAAATCTGACTCTACTGAAAGGTTCATCATCAAAGATCCTTCATAGTACAATGAAGATGACAAAAGGAAAGTTTCCTTGGATACCAAGATAAGGGCAATCATTGCCCTCTCTCTTCTCGATGATGTTTTCCACTCCTTGGTAAACCTCTCTACTACTAAGGATGTGTGGAACACTCTTTGTGTTCTGTATGAAGAAACCATTAAAGTAAAGAAAAGCAAGAAGATTGGCCTCGTTAGGCAATATGAGCTCTTTGCGCATGGGAAAAGTGAATCTCTCACTGAGTACTACAACAAGTTTAACAGCCTCCTCAATGATCTAAAGCTTCATGGTAGAGTCTATGAAAATGAAGAAGTCATGTGCAAGTTCATGGATTGTTACCAGACTTCTGGGAAAACATATGTACTTGTATCAAGACAAACACAGATCTTGAAAATATGCCTCTTACTTCTCTTTATGGAACTCTCCATAATTATGAGAAAACCAAGCTTCTAAAAAAGACATTATTAAAATATTGTAAAAGTTCTTCTGTTGCTCTTCTCTCCATTGATACGAGGAAGCCAATTAGTGAACCTTGTATCACTTATCTGACTAAATCTGATGAAGATGCTGTCAGAAAAGAAGAATTTGATGAAAGTTATGTTGACGATGCTGCTAATGAGGGTGATGAACCCACAGTTAATGACTTAGCTGACAACATGGCCATGATGGCTACCAACTTCAAAAGGTACGGCAAAAAGGGTTTTTCTAAATTCTCTCCCAAATCTAAGGTCACCAAACATAGAACCTTAGATCAACCTAAGTCAACTCCTCTTGATCTGTCCAATGAGGAGTGTTTGAACTGTGGCAAGAAAGGTCATTTTGTTGCTAAGTGCAAAAGCAAAAATATCTCTAAGCATCATCCTTCTCAACCAACAAGTCGAACCTCTCATGACAAGTACAAAGCCAAGTACAAGCGAGAAAAGGCAAAGAACAAGAGCTTTCAGAGAAAAGGTCAGGGTCTCATGGCTAAGACTCATGACAGGATTGATGAGCCAACCTCTTCCTCCAGTGATGAGGACATGGCACATATGTGCCTTGTGGCCAAAATACGGGAGATAGAAGACTCTGACAAAGGATCCACCTCTATTGTTGTTGCTGATGTACCTTCTACCTCCAAGGATGCCAAAGATCTGGTCAAACCAAAGAAGGTAAACAACTTCTCTTCTCCCTCTTAATCTGATAAGGTTCAAGCTTTTGATTCTTTATATGTAGATCTTCACAATGTTAGATCTGCTAAAAAGAAATCTGACCTTGAAATTAAAAGTCTAACTAGTCAGTTACATAAATGCATGAATCAACTGAAAGACTTTGATAAGTTGAAAAATGACCTGAAAGAACAAAAGTTAATAAACAATGTTCTTAACAAAGAAAAAACTAAGGACTACGAGAAGCTTGAGAAATAAAAATCCATTCTTCAAAAATGAGCTAGATCATCCAAAAACTTAGATAAAATCTTACATGATCAACTTCCTAGTGAAATAAAGACTGGCATAGGTTATGATGATCTGGATCTGTGTGCTCCAAATGACTCTATGTGCATTTCTTCTCACATTCACTCTTCCTCCTCTTCGTCTCATTTATAAGATTCTGTTGGATCTCTTTCTCCTAGATCTAATGATAATGGAGAATCTCTTATGTTCAAAATTTTTGTCCAAGCTAAAAATCCAAACTCTGAATCTGATAATGTTCCTGTCGAGTGTGTGTTTAACTCTCTCACTCTCTCTCTTATGGAATCTCCTAATATATGCTCATCTAAATCTAGAACATCTGAAGCACCCCATGAATCGTCGTTTCTCTACTGTTGAGAAAGGCAAGTCTATGGACAAGCCTATCAAGAACAAGAAGCCAAAATCCAAACTAAAAATGAAACATAAGCCTTCGGCTACCTCATCTCAGTCAGTTGTTGCTTCTCAATGTGGTACCTCAGTACCTTCTATTACTGAGTTTATTCCTCAACCAATATCCTTGAAAAAGACTTCCAAGGTTTCTACCTCTTCTCAGAAACCAATCCCTGGGTCTGAAAATGGATTCTTGGACCAAAACCCTCAACATCCTCTGTCCCTTCTTCAAAAGATTCTTCCTCTCAAAAGACCTAAGAAGCATGTTAACACAGTTAAGCACACACCTTTAATTTCTATTAAACCTGTGTTTATTTATCAAAAATGTTATAACTGTGGTGACACTTTTCATTTGGCCAAGAACTGTCATAAGGAAAGAATCTCTAGGCCAGTAAGAGAAGAGAAAGAAGAAAAGACTCCTAACCCCAATGGACCCATTGTAAAATGGGTACCTAAAAACTGATTTATCTATGTTTGCAGGCTTAGGACACCGACAGGTATAATATTTGGACAGTGGATGTTCAAGATACATGACTGGGAACAAGTCCCTGTTGATCAACTATGTGTCTGAACCTGGTCCTTCGGTAACCTTTGGAGATAATGCCAGAGGTATTACTAAAAGATAATGTCTATGTGATCAACATGGATTCTTCTAGCTCTTCTGACGCCAACATCTGTTTCTACTCTGAGGCTACTGCTGATCAAAAATGGCTATGGCATAAAAGGTTGTCCCATCAAAACTTCAAAACCATCAACAATCTTTCTAGTAAAGATCTGGTTATTGGACTTCCGAAGATGTCATATGTCAAAGTGAAGTTGTGTGCTGCTTGTAAAAAAGGCAAGCAAACCAAAGCAAGTYTCAAGTCCAAGATGTGCTCTTCTATTTCTGCTCCTTTGCACATGCTTCATACGGATCTCTGTGGTCCTGTGATCATTCAAAGTTTGGGTGGAAAATGTTATACCCTTTTATTATGGATGAGTACTCAAGATATACTTGGGTCTTCTTTCTTCAACACAAAAGTGATGCAGCTGAAGAAATTATCAAGTTTGTGAAGCGGATTGAAGTCTTTAATGGTCAACTTGTAAGATCAATTCGAAGTGATAACGGTACTGAGTTCAAAAAACAGTGTTCTTGAAAGCTTCTTTGATGACAAAGGTATTTCTCAAAATTTCTCAGCAGTTCGGACTCCACAGCAATATGGAGTTGTTGAAAGGCGAATTCGTACACTTTGTGAAGCTGCACATTCAATGCTAAGTGAAGCAAGTCTTCTAACCTACTTTTGGTCTGAAGCTGTCAATACTGCTTGCTTTATTCAAAATAGGTCTATAAGTGTGAAAAGACACAATAAGACTTCTTATGAAGTATTTCATGGTAGAAAACCAAACATTAGCTTTCTTCAACTGTTTGGTAGTGCATGTTATATTCTGAATGACAGAGATCAGTTAGGAAAGTTTGATCCTAAATCTGATGAATGAATCTTTGTTGGTTACTCTCAATTCTTTTAAGCCTTTCGGGTGTACAACATGCGTCGTCAGTGCATTGCTGAATCTGTCAATGTCAGATTTCATGAATCTGGATCGGTGTCTGGAACATCATCATTTCAAAGTGATGATCTTGAGGTTAACAATTGGTTGGAATTTCACTCCTCTGAGAATTCAACTCCAATCGGTGGACCTCCACACTCTAATGGAGATGTTGTTCCACCTGTTGAGGAAGATGAGAATGAAGATCTTTCATTCAACATGAATATACCATCGGTCAGTCTTGAACAAGAACTAGCCGATCTGACACCTCTTTCCGGTGTGGAACCCTCAACTGGTGTCGATGTTCCTATTTCTTCTACTAGGGACATCGGTGACCCGACCTCAGTAGTCATTTATATCCTCTAACAAATGCTGACGGTGCCTCTACCTCTCTTCTTCTTCCTCTTCCTCCTCCCCCTCCCATTAAGTGGACCAGAGATCACCAAGTGGAGCAAATTATTGGTGATCAGCAAATAGGTGTCTAAACACGTCACGATGCTGGTAATATCTGTTTGTATGTCAACTTTCTATCTCTCATCGAGCCTAAAAGAATTAAAGAAGCCCTTGATAATCCTAGCTGGATCAGTGCCATGCAAGAAGAATGTTGCAGCTCGAGCATAACAAAGTTTGGAGATTGGTCCCCCGACCAACCAAGAAAACAATTATTGGCACAAAGTAGATCTTCAGAAACAAAATGGATTGAATGGAACGGTGACTTGAAACAAGGCCCGACTCGTTGCCCAAGGATACAGACAAGTGGATGGCATTGATTATGATGAAACATTTGCTCCAATAGCAAGGTTGGAAGCTATCCAGATCTTTCTTGCCTATGCTACATTCAAGAACTCTAGACTTTTCTAGATGGATGTAAAAAAGTGTTTTCTTGAATGGGAAAATTACTGAAGAAGTCTATGTGAAACAATCTCCAGGCTTTGAGGATCTTAAACATCCAATGTATGTCTATAAATTAGACAAAGCTTTGTATGGTCTCAAACAGGCTCCTCGTGCATGGTATGCCACTCTCTCTACTTTCCCTTTTGAAAATGGCTTCTCTCGTGGTAAAATTGACAATACCCTCTTTATTAGGAAACATAAAGGTCATGTCATTCTTGTACAAATTTATGTGGATGATATCATATTTGGTGCCACTAAAGAATCTATGTGTAGAAAGTTTTCAGAACTCCTGCAAAGTAAATATGAGATGAGTATGATGGGTGAACTCACCTTTTTCTTGGGTTTGCAAGTCAAGCAATCTGATAAAGGAATCTTTATAAATTAAATCAAATATGTTAATGATTTTTTAAAGAAATTTGATTTTACTAAGTGTTCTTCCATGAAAACCCCAATGGCATCCCCCTTGAAACTGAATGCAGACCCCGATAGCAAATCGGTAAATGTGACCAGTTATAGGGGAATGATCGGCTTCTTACTTTATCTTACTGCTAGCCGACCAGATATTATGTTCTCTGCATGTCTTTGTGCAAGATACCAAGTGAATCCAAAGGAATCTCACTTGGCAGCTGTTAAACGCATTTTCAAGTACCTGAAAGGTATTCCCAATCTGGGTATTTAGTATCCCAAAGACTCAGGTTTTGATGTAACAAGTTTTTTAGATTCTGATTATGCAGGTTGCAAAGTTGACAGAAAGAGTACAACTTGTAGTTGTCAGTTGTTGGGTGGAAAGTTAGTCAATTGGACTAGTAAGAAGCAACACTCGGTGTCCATCTCAACAACTGAGGCTAAATATGTTGCTGAAGGTAGCTGTTGTGCACAAGTCTTGTTTATGAAAAATCAGTTAGCTGATTACGATAAGTTGTTCGCATAAATTCTGATTTTGTGTCATAATTCCAGTGCCATTGTTATTGCCAACAATCCAGTTCTTCACTCTCGTACAAGCATATTGATATTCGATATCACTTTATCATAGATCATGTGATGAAAGGTGATGTTGAACTTCATTTTATCCCCAAAGACTATCAACTCGCTGACTTATTTACCAAGCCTCTTGATGAAGTTCGGTTTAATTTTCTGATCAGTGGGTTGGGAATGTTAAATGTTGACAAATAAACTTTTTGAGTCATCACTAATTCTTTTGGTTTGTGAGTAATCTTTATTTTTTATTTTTTTTGTCATTTGTTTAAAAATAGTTTGTGTCTGTTTTCTATGTGAATATATCTTCTCTCTTTATAAAATATTGATTTTTTGCAAATGATAGGTTTTACACTCGTATAATTTTTTCCTTGAACATCAATTTATATTTTCTATCTAAAAAGTCTCTGTGTGAATTCGTTTTATATCGCTTAAAAATAAAGTTTTTTTAAAAATATATTTTTATTAAAAAATAAAAAGAAAAATATATTTTTAAAGAAACTCACACACCGACCAACACACAGCTAACACTCAAACCTATCACACACCTAACACACACACCTATCACACACACCTAACACTCACACCTATAGCGCACACACCTATCACACACACCTAACACTCACACCTAACACTCACACCTATCCCACACACACCTAACACTCACACCTATCCCACACACACCTATCACACACACACCGACTTTATCAAACCGACCACCCTCACACCGATTCCAACCGGTCTCCCTTCCCCTTATCTTAAACTGATCTTCCTTGACACAAAACACCCCCCAAACTGAAACCTATTCGGCCTATCCCTCTCTCCTTTTTTCTCTCTCTAACCGATTCCCTTCTCTCCCCTTCGGCCTCACCCTCTCATTTCAACAAACCGACCCCCCCTCTCAAGCCGAACCATGGCTTCCGAAGGTGCAAAGGTGCAACATTGTGAAATTTGTGCAAAGGTGCAACAAATCATCAACCATGGCTTCCAAAGGTGAAACCCACTCCAAAGCTCCCAAGATTGTGAAATCTGTTCCACACACTACTGATAGTGTTACATTTTTCTCCTTGCAACTTTGTGGCGTTGTTGGATCACACTGACAAGTATTCGGATTTTTACATCATCACCGAATTTTTACGTAAGTGCCTTCTCTTCAAAGCTTTTACCTATTCTCCTAAGATGGGCAAATCTCTTCTACGTACTTTTTGGGCCTCTTGTGTATATAATGCCACTACCAAAGCTGTGTATGCATCTATTTATCTGATAATGATGTGTTATTTATTGTTGATGATCTAAGAAGAGTGTTGGATCTTCCTGCTTACTCCTCTTACGAGGAGCTTGTGTCTATTGATAACCTTCATGTTGTTGCTTCCACTATGGGCTATGTGCAAAACACAGTTGTGACAAATCACAGTACTCTTTATAAAAAATATATGGGTGCTATTTGGAACTTCTTTCTCTCTCATATTATACAATCTTTGAGTTCCAAAACTGGAGGAATAGATCAGTCACCCATTTCAGTCACCCAGCTGGCTCATGTACTTATTTTCCAGAGAAGAATTGACTTTGCTTGTTATTTTTTTGGGGAGTTGGTAAAGAAGATGGGTAGTGCCAAATGTTCTACTGTGCCATTCATCAAATTTTATCCATGCTGATTGCTGACAAACTTGGGTCACGTATGCCAGCCGATAATGGTAATTTTTTATGGCCTTAAAGTGTTTCAAGTTGGCTTTCAGACTTTGAAAAAGGCATCACTATCCACTGATCTTCCTCTTCCATCAGGTATTGTTTCTTTTGCCACCTCTTCTAACCCTGTATGGGGAGAGTGCTCTGTGACCACAGTAGCTGGGGACCATCCTTATGTTACTTCGGTCACCCAACACTCCTCCATGTCAGTGGCCCCTCCCCCTTCTACTTCTTCAACTACTGCCTCAAAAGAGACCGCCTATTCTGCTCAGAAATGACCAGAAGATAACTTTGTTCTCCCATCCTCCGCTTCTGAGGTTATGACTTTGAAAGCGCCTTCGGAGTCTCAGTCCACCTCTCAACTCTCTCACTCAAAGTGGAGTCACTCTAGATTATCTACTCTTGGCTCTTCCTCTAAGAAGACCAAGAAACCGAAAAGAGCTAAAAACACATCTCCAACCAAGGACTCTAAACAGTCCAAGGTTGTTGAAGTTGGTCCTACTGAGCCCAAGACATTTGTTATACACTCCCTGAGCTCCTCAGTGCCCTCTCAACAAGACACTGTTGTACATACGGGGATCTCACATCACTCCACCTTGGCGTCTCTACACAACCTTGGTGATGACTCGGATACCTCCCTTTTCCGAGGTCTTTCATCCCCTCCACATGCTAACGGCCTATCATCCGAGATCGATGATCTTGATGATATTGAACAGATGGATGATTTTTCAACATCGACTCATAATGACTTCTCTTTTCTCCATTATCTCCCTATGGATTTGGGTGGTGAGCCTTACCAGCCTACTACCTCTACTACAGGGGTAATTGATGACCCGCCTCATACAGGTGTTGATGATACATATACTGAGCCTCTCATCGGTGTCGGTGATACAGACACTGAGCCTCTCGCCAGTGTTGCTGATACAGATATTAAGCCTCATGCCGATATCGCTGATACAGATGTTGAGCCTCATGCCGACATCAGTGATATTCCCATCAGTGACTTTCAGTGCGTCGATGGTACTGAGAGTGTTGACAGTTCTTATCCGGGTAGGTCAGCATGCCCAATCGAAGCTTGTTCACCAACTCTAGCTGTTGTTTCTCCTTTAAGGTCCCCTTCTACACTGGGCTTTCGGTTCTCAGCTCCCTCACCTCTTGAGGTAATATATGCTCTACCTACTGAGGTCGTAGATATGTTTCCGGCGTTCTTGTCTCAGTGCCAGTTGCTTTTTTCTCAACAGGCCTCTCTCAACAATGATTTATCTGGCAGATTGGACTTCTTTGCCTCCAGCTTTACCTCTAAGATGCGCTAGCACAGTGCGGCTTTACAAGATCATGGCCTTGCTTTGACAACTCTTACAGACACGGTTGATTCTCTTACTGCTAGCATTACTGCTCTATTAGATTCCCATCTCACAAGATCTAGCTGATCTTCGTGCTTGCTCGGACAGTCAAGCTGCCACTAATCAGGCCATTTTTCAGTCTCTGGTCGATTTGCGCTCAAAGGTGTATGCATATACGCAGATATTCAAGTTGTTGTTAGACAAGGAGCCTTAGGATATCACTATCGACTTGGGTACCAGTCAGTTCATGGAATCGGACAGGGTTATGTTAACTGACGTCAGTCGCCGTGTTGAGTCAGATCCTAGTCTTCTTGGCATTCTTCATCACAGTGTGTCTCGTTTGCTACGTGCCATAGGTTCTCCTCTTACTCCCTCTTCTCATGCTACAGATTCTCTACCTTCCTCTAATGCCAATGTGGAGGGTCCCCCAGTTCCTGCTCGTGTGCCTTCCCCTGTTCCATTGAGGGGGAGAAGACAGTAGACCCAACTACCAGTGAAAACGGGGATGACTCATCATCTACCTCTTCTGCCTCTTCTTCATCATCTGATATTGAGTCAAACTTTGATGCTCTTATTGAGGGGGAGCTATTTGATCATGATAGAGCTGCAGTACCTGTTCAGGGGGAGCAACCGAGCTCTATGCCTTCAGTATCTATTGAGGTTGGTACTACACCTTGTAAGTCCCCAATATTCAATCAACCTTCAATCTTTCTTCAAGAACATGATAAATGGAAATATTCAAGATTATGATACTTGAGAGAAAAAGTCAACAAGTCAATGTATGTGTATTAGCTTCAAAGCTCAATTACAAGGTAATTACAATTAAGCTTCCTTACCTTTTATTAACAAAGAAACTAATCCTATTTATAGGTCAAACCTATACAAGAGTCAAACCTAATACAAATATTACAAAGATAATCTTTCGAGAATGAGTACAACATTTAATCTCTAAAATTCAATCCTAACATACCTTCTCAAGATGATATTCCTACTATTTCTAGGGACATGGTCCCAACTCATAGAGAAGGAAAGGCACCGATGATGTCCGATCAAGAAGCTGTTGTAGCTAAAGCAGTTAAAGTTGCAAGAAATCAATCTGAAGCCTCTACAAAAGACAAACTTGTGCTTAAATCCTCAGGTTCTCTTGAAACTGATCTTCATCTGCTAGGTATTTCAGCTGAGGACGTAGACAACTCAATTGCTCTTCAATAGCAATTTGAGGAAGCCAACAGATCTCACTCTTTGGTCCCACGATCAGAATCTGAAGAAACCAAAGAGAAAAGAATTAAATGGTTTAATGACTCAATTCTTCGGCGATATATTGCTACTCGAATTATCAGTGATAGAATCAAAGGTCCTCAAAAATTGACCTATGATTCCAATCTGATTTATTTCATTATTGGTCGAGCAAACGGAGTGGTGAGGACAGAAAAACTATGTTGGATTAATGCCTACGGCCTATCTGAATGGATGGAGATTATCAAGTTTATTAAAAAGAGCAAAAGCATGTACAAAGAAGTTGATTTGGGTCACTTGTATAGCCTACTAAAAAACATACAAATGATCAAGATGCACTACAAGCTGCCTTCCCCTTCACAACTCTCCTAACTCAAGCAAATGTTGAATAAAGATGGCTCTTCTAAATCTGTTTAAGCCTCTCAGTCCATCAAGAAGCAAGACTCTCTGTAAAACCCCCCGTCCCCATGGTCCAGAACGGACGGTGTCACTAACGGAACTTAATTCAAAGACACAAACATTACAAAGCTACTAATAAACTCTAAACGTAGATTAACTTCTAAAACATGCTTTATAGTCCAAAATATTACATTCTAACAACTATTTATAAGCTTAGAATATCAACATCTACAAACGAGTTTACAAACTCCAAAATTTAAACCTCGATCTCAAGTCTCGTCCCTATCAGTATCACTTGGAACGTTTCGTGTCACAAAACAAGAACACGGTTGAGCACGAGGCTCAGTGAACAGATTGTAATATAAACATGAAATAATAATACATAACATCGATACTAAAGCGGAAGACTTAAAAATCAATTAAACTGAATTCATAGAAAATCAAGACGTTTCACAGTTCTCATTTCAAAACATCATTTAAACAMAATYYGTCAATTCCTGTAGTGTTCGTGGGGTGGCCAAACCACACGAACTATCGGGCCGGTGTGCAGGCACACACCTCGAGTCCCTTGTGAATTTAACCACGGTCACATGGTGGGTAATGCTAGGATTGATCCATCCGCCCTGGAGCCAATAAAATCGGCCTAGTCCACAAGGTCGGTTAACGTAAGTCACTATTGGGCCTAACCCTGTGGACCGAGTTCACCTCTAGAACGTCATGACTAAAAAGCCGCCATAAAAGGCATCCCAAATAATGTACCCATTAATTGGGTTGTTCTGAAAACCAATAAAACTAAACATGTGCCATTAGCCAGATGGCGTTCATACAAAGTCAAGCTTCAAAGTACTTCATAAAACTCAAAACTACTTCAAAATATGAGAATCATTTTAATAGACTTGAAATATTCAAACATACAATTCAACAGACTAAACTCAAATGTTCATGATAAAGATTCAAGAGTTTATATATATATATATATATATATATATATATACACGTAATTTGTTGACCACTTTTAAGTGATCAATCACAAAGTGGTGAACCATCGTTAGGGTCAACTACAATAACTAGTTGCCCAAGATTCAAAGAAAGTGAAATATGTACCTTAAGCGGAATAGAGAAGTAAAGCACGATCAAACGAGATTCACGGTAAAGTTCGACTTGCTCGCCTGCCTAACGAATGTGCAAATCGGTTATTACTTAAACGACGTAAAATCGTATCCTAATTCTAATAATAAAATACTTAGGTCCTACATGTTTATAAAAAACTTAAACTTCAAATAAGACAGCCGAATATGAATTGAGAAATCGACTCAACACTTAGCTTTATATAATTTCGTTTCGGCTTTTAACAGCTTTTGACCCTCATTTTCATGAGCATTTTTACCCCACTTAGAGGTCAATACATAAAATACTATCTAAACAAAAATTGTAGTATGATATGTGATGAAACCACAAGTTTTGGAACCAATTCATTTGGATTATCTATCTATTTTATACGAATTTTACAAAACAGCATATCAATCTTACATACCATGCAAAACAGCCACGAAAACACACTGTTTCGAGCCACATAGAGTCATAACTGGATTTTCGACCCTACATGAAAGTTCAAGTGTACAATAATAGATTTCTAACTGAAAAATACGAGCTTATTCCAACTTACAGTTTGAAAGTTATACATTGTCAAAGTACGAACCTGCATAGTCGGTAAAATCCGATTTTTAAACTTCCTAACTAACTTTTATGATCCAACTTCCATGATTCGCTATATTTACGTGTTATAAATATAATAAACAGTAAAACAAATCAAATGGTCATTTCCTAAGCTTAATCATGTAATTTTACTCTTTTCGACATTATATCGAACAATTTGTATGCGGTTAAACATATACACCAAATCTAACCATATTGAAACCATAATCTACCTTTTTAATTTCTACATCAATTTAACCAATCCTAGCCTTCTAAACAAGAAATATATCATACTCTTAACAATATCAATTCATAAACTTAGACATAACATAATTTAAAAACCGGTCTAAAAAATGCTAATGTAAACACCCTAATAAAAGTGAATGAAATTTATACATTTAGGAAAGATTCGAACAGTGGATTCTGAATATATAATTGCTACCTTGATTCCTTCAACGCTTTGAGAAATATTTTAGAGAGAATAAAAATTTGAGAGAGAGAATAAGGCGGTGAAAGAAGAAGAATCATCGATTTGCATGGTTTTTTTCACACACACACACACACACACACATATATATATATATATATATAGGAGCGATCAAATGAAAATCACTCAAATTTGTAAAAACCGTAAAAACTACTCTCATCCATCGTTAATCTTATGAAAATTTTTCATAAAATTGTTAATCTTGTGAAATTGTTTCATATAATACTTTTTTTGAT